AAAGAGAAGAAGAATTTGTCAAGGTAAAAGTGCAAATCATGGGAGAAATACCTGGTTTAAACTTCATAAACTTCTTCAAACTATCCAGGCCCTAAGCTTAAGGTTTTAAGGTTGATGAACAGAAGAGATGCAGCAAGAAGTTGTGGATCTCGTTGGTATTTGCACAGAGCTGAGCCCTGGTGCAGGTAAGTCTGGGTGGCCTCAGCCCAGGTGTGTGTCCTGTGTGTGCAGGTGGCCCTTCGCATCCGTCCCATCAATGAAGCAGAAGTAGAGGAGGGAGCTGCCCTCATTGCCCGCAGAGTGGGTGAGCAGGTGAGCTGGGGGGATGTGCTGGGCAGCCTCCAGTTCTGCATCCTTCACCTCTTGCTCCTCTTCTTCAGAGGCAGGGATTGCAGGAGGTCCCCACATACCTGTTCTACATTGTTACATCTATTCACATATTTTTATTGTGCCCTTGTTATTTTACCTTCTTTTCCAATGTAAATCCCATTGTTTTCTATCATGCTTCAGCTGATCTTTCTGTGAACCCTTTCTGAATGCGTGCTAATTCTGTAATATATCTTGTCTCCATGCAATGGTCAAATAATAGCAGACCTCGGAAGCAGAGAGAGCATGAATCTCTTTCCTCTTTATGGATTTTTCCACAAAAATATCCATAATATTCTTTATGGATTATTTTACAAATGCAAATTTTGTTTAGCACCTTACTGGTGAAACATCTTTTTTTTTTTTTTTTTTTTTTTTTTTTTTAAATTAGCCATTAACCTCACAAGGATATCAGCTTTATTTTTAATCAGTTGCATCATCTGCCCTGAGATCCATTTTATCTAACGGAAATCTGGGAAGGAAATGTGCATTACATTAGTTTGAGTAACTTCTGTCTATGAGAGTAAGTTTTTCTTAATAATGCAAATAACTGTAATTATGAAAGCAAATGAATTGACTGGGCAGTTGAAGTGCTTAGATTTCTTGGTGTATTTTGATTTACATCGTGTTCCCTGCTATTTTTAATCCCAGCCTAACTCATTTAGAGCTGCTTCTGTCTGCTTATTAATCCTAACTCAGAACTGACTCTGTTAGTGTCTTGTTATGTTTTAATGCTTCCGTGCAATAGCAGAAGATTGATGTTTTCAGAATACTGCCAGTTAGACATTGTGTGAGCACCAGATTGGGAGAGGACTTTTTTGGATGCAGAGATACTCTGCAAGCAAAATCTGGATGTTGTAAGGACTTGGTACAAGGGGCCTGAAAGTCACAGAATTTCTAAAGAAAACCTGCTGACCTCATTCTCCAGGCTCTGCTCTTGGCTGTCACACTCGCATGTGCACATGATTACATGTCAGCCCATCTTTTGCAGGCAAATGCCACTGCTGAGGATAAGCCAGGAGTTGCCTTTGGAGCTTGTTCTTGTGTTGCTTCAGGTTTTAAAGTCTGAGGTGGACCAGTGAAGACTAAAGAAATTTATTTTTTTAAAAAAGTCATTCTGGTAATTGAAAACTTGCAGATGAAAACTAGAGATACTCATTAGAGACTTGGAATTTAGCAGCAAATGCAAACCAAAAAGAAAAACCAAAGTCTTGACACCTCCTGAACACCCCTGGGCACCTGTCCTAGATACCTGTCTCTCTCCTATGCCTGGTGCACCAGTGCAGGTGGCTGATCTGTGCACTAATTGCTTATCTAATGATCTGTTTACCTGAGAGACAGAGTGAAAGCTGCTCTGCAGTAGGTGGCACAAGGTTCTCTGTCCCTTCCCTTGAGGCTTGAGCATCTCCTTATGAGCCCTTTCAGTGGAGAAAGAAGAATACTATTGTCCACAGTAATTATAGACTGTGATAATGAGGTACGAAAATAGATCCAAAGGGACTGAAAAGAAACAGGACCAGTTCTGTAACCTGCTGCAACCCCGCTCCCACCTTTGTTTTTTCCTTAACAAAAGCCAGAAATGGAAGGATGTTTCTGTCCTTGAGCAATGCAGATATTCCTATCTGTCCTTCTGCAGGAAAGGCTTTGGAAAATTATTTTGGGCACTTTTGCTCCCGAGCTACTTAACTATTTTCTTTCACTGCTCCTTCGTTTGAATCCTGACTGAAAATTGCGGTAAGAGGAACTATCCCCCTCCTGCTGGCATTGGGGTTGGTTGGGTGTCATGTCCCTGCAACCACCACTGTTGCCCAATGCCAGCGACTGTTTCACTGCACAACAGACCTTCAAAGCATTTTGCAGCAGCAACTAGTTCTCCAAATTACAGAATTTGCAACATCAGTTACAAAACAAACCTTGTTGGTCTCCGCGTTTTATGTGCAAGTGTGTTTTCCATGCAAAGCTGTGGTGTGATGTTCCTTTGGCCATGAGATGTGATGGTGGTGTAAGAAACCCCAACAGGCTGTTAACCAAGCCCAGATGTAACGGTGGTTCTTCTGGCTTTATTTTATAACAGAGGGTGGTCCTGATGGATCCAAGTGAAGATCCAGATGACATCTTGCGAGCTAACAGATCCCGAGAAAAAACATTTGTATTTGACATGGTTTTTGATCAGAGAGCGACCCAGGTAACATCCTTCCCTTTTTCTTTTTTTTTTTTTTTTTTTTTACCAAAAGGCTTAACATTCGAATTATTTTCTCTGCTTAGATGAATGTTTTTGGCAGGTGAGTAAAACTGCACATCCCAGAGGCCACATATCAGCCAGATAAAAGGTAACGGTGCTGAGAGTGAGAGGACTGGGAGGGTTTTTCTTTTCTGAGAAGCGAGGAGACACGTGCAGTATTCCATCTGCCTCCCACATCAGGACTCCCCAGATGCAACACACCCGAGCAGAGATGAAGAGCTTTGTCTCCTGAGGTCTCCATTCGATGAGATCATTGTCACACTGCTCGGCTCTGTTGCTCACTTGCTTCTTCCCTGTGCCTCTCTTGTTTTACAGGCTCGTGAAGTGAGCTCTAGTGCCCTCACTGAGCTGTGCTCTGCAGACAGGTGTAAGGTGCAGTATGAGGAGTTCATCAGCACCTGCATTTTGTGATCACCATGACGGGACTGCAGCCTTGCTTCTCACAAGCAATTCAGTCATTGTGTTCTCTTTCACATGAAACTTCAGTGTAGCACCTTTGTATGATACCCAAGATATTTTTGGAGGCCCAGTGGCACCTCTTAATACAGGATAGGGTCAGGGAGAGAATTTACTCCCTTCTTCAGAAGACACAAAGAAAAAGCAATGCTTGCCATGTTCAGAGTCCAATAAAATAATCAAATTTAAGAACATTTATTTTAGTAAGCTCCTGCATCTTGCCTGCTCTTAGAAAATTCAATAAACTTCTGTGCTTTTCTGCTCATTTTGATGATGTGTCAAGATTCAAATGGTTCATTAATTGTTCCAAAGCCCAGGAAATTTGTAAACGTAGTGAGAAAATCCTGGGGAATGCAATTAGATATAGATTGTTTGGACAGCTGTTATGCCTGACTGTAAGTTTCTGCTTTTTTTGGCTGAATTAGGAGGAAGTGTATGTGTCTACGACCAAAAACCTGATAGGAGGAGTAATCTCTGGCTACAATGCAACCATTTTTGCCTATGGTCCAACAGGTAAAGTAGTCCCTGTAGCTGTACTGCTCCCAGTGAATGAAACGTATCTGTACAAACCAGAAATTAACTAGAATGCCAATTAATTGCTTATTGTAAGGGCAAGACTGAAGCATTAAAATACTATTCTCATTGGGAACTGTGAATCTTCTTTTAATGCTGAATTAACAGCAAAGCTGCCTTGTTTGAGAAGTCACTTAATTGAGTGGAATTGAGTGGAGACAAATCCTCCCATTAAAAAGGAGGAGACGAGGGCACCTGTGCAATGCTGGAGGCTGATCTCAGCAGAATAGATACAGCTGTAGAAAGCACCTGTAGAAACACACAGACTATGTGAAAATACATTTCTAACTGAAATGTGAGAAACTGGAGTAACTGGAGGAAGTTATGGGATGAAGGACAGGTATCAGTAGAAAACTAGGCTTTGTTTCTTGTGGAAACTTGCTGAAATGGACGTTGATCTTTGCTTTTCTTCTTTGTATCTTTAACAGGAGCAGGAAAAACATACACGATGCTAGGGACGGACAGTGAACCAGGGATTTACATCCGCACTCTTGATGATCTCTTCAAGGCCCTTGAAGCTACCACTGAGGAGATGGATTACAGAGTCTCTATGTCCTACCTGGAGGTGAAATGTCTATGTTGCCCTGGATCCAGGCTCTGTGGGAATTCACCAAGGCCCTGGGGGCAGGCATAATGGGAAGTGGGGTGTCCAAGTCTGTCTACCATGCAGAACTCTCCTTGGGTTGTACAGCTTGAATCTTCCCTTCTTCCCAAAGAAATACAGGATCAACTCAACCTTCTTTGCAGATCTAAGGACCCAATGCTAATCTCACACCAGTCCCTTGTTTCTTAGATCTATAATGAAGTGATCCGTGACCTCCTGAACCCATCCTTGGGGTTCTTAGACCTAAGAGAGGACCCCAGAGGCAGCATCCAGATAGCAGGAATTACAGAAGTCTCCACTACAAATGCTCAGGAGGTACCACGGGCTATGGTCCATGGTGAGGGGAAAGGGAGGAGGTTTGTGCTTTCATGCATCAGTGCTTTGAAATTTCTTACTCAGTAGCAAGGACCTTTCGCAGCGGGACCTTGGTAAAACTGGATTAATGTGATGAATTGTATGAAAAGGGCTGATCATGGAGCCCTGTGAGTGGTAGAAACCAGGATAAAGTCCCCAGCTAACCTCCTGCTAGCTCTGCTTCCCCAGGGTGCATGCTGCTGTCCTGGAAGGACACGAGTGATTTGATTTGTGTACACATGTGTCAACAAACCATTTGGAGAGGAAGAAGAAATAACGAAACCCCTTTGAGCTACGCTGATATGCACTTCTCCATGTGACACTTCTTGTCAGACATGAGATAAACAAGGCCTCCCAGGAAAACAGCCCCAAACCCCACAAACCCACAACTCCAAGGTCATAAGCCGAAGGGGGAGATCTGGGGAAAATCAAGGGTGAAACCCCCACTAACGTGAGCAGGACCAGAGTTTGCCTGTGCCCTGGGTGAGGGGTTCAGTCTTTGGGGAACACCATGCTATGGCTCAGGCAGAGCTGTACATCTCCTTGTGCTCTTCTGCATCATTTAGATCATGCAGCTGTTAACGAAAGGAAACAAGGAACGCACTCAGGAACCCACTGCTGCCAACAAGACGTCCTCCCGCTCGCACGCAGTGCTGCAGGTGACAGTGACACAGAAAAGCCGAAGGAAGGTGATGGGTGAGGAAGTACGAATTGGAAAGCTCTTCATGGTCGACTTGGCAGGGTCAGAGAGAGCAGCCCAGGTATGGTTGGAGCTCAGCAGCTTTTGGTGAGACCAGGTTGGATTCCCTGGCCTGCCACGCAGGGTCTGCATGCCTGTCCTCATCCCTGGGGAAACCAGCACTGTGTTTTTCCTCTGTTGCTTTAGAGAAACCTGAGGCAGCCTGAAAATAAAAGATAAAGTTTGATGATGTTGGTAATATCTTTTATTAAACCAACTAGTGTAATTGAAAAAAATGTAACCCAGCTTTTGGGTGCAGCCTTTTCTCAGGTCTGAAAAAGCAGCTGTGAATTTCACATCTAAAGAGAAGCTGAGGTCTGTTAGGCAGGGATCGGCTGGGCTGTTGGAGAGAAAGCTGGCACCAGTGGAACAGAGGTGGGTGGAAAATAAGGCAGCTGGTTCCAGTGGGAAGGAGAAATGCTGGAACTCAGGGAGGTGATTTGAGGGAGAGAGATTTTACACCCCCAGTACTTCTCCTGAGACCAGGAATTCTGGAGTGATGTAGTTATGCATCTTAATTTCTGAAATAATCTCTAGAAGATAATTAATAGCTATTTTTTAAGAACCAAGAGGTCAGAGCTGGGCCACTTTTTCCAAGAAATGTATTCCTACCAGCACCTCTGTCCCTCAGAGTGGGATTTAACCCTGCACTTTCAGATTGATTTTGCAGGAGGCATTGCTTTGACATCCAAACCTCAACCCTGGTGATGCCACATATCTTCCCCAGGCACAGACCCACCATTCTGAAGTGTGGGCTTTGTCTGCCCTCCCTTTCTCCCTCCCCTCCCAACAGACTCAGAACCGGGGCCAGAGGATGAAGGAAGGAGCCCACATCAACCGCTCGCTGCTGGCTTTGGGCAACTGCATCAACGCTTTGAGCGAGAAGGGCGGGAGCCGGGCCCAGTTTGTGAACTTCCGAGACAGCAAACTCACGCGTCTGCTGAAGGTACCGTACCCCACAGGTCAGCAAGGAGCTTGGTATGTCTGTTGCTGGTATCACCGTCCAAATCAGGCAGGACTTGAGAGCTGATCCTTGAGTATCTCTGTGCATTATCTTTATCCAGCTTGGAATGTTCCTCCAGGATCTTGCATGAGCTTTGCAGTGCAGTCAGGGCTGGATTCAGACAGTGCTGTCTCTGTAATGAGCATGTTGTCTTGTGATCTCTGTGGTTAAGGAAGGACCTCCTGTAGGGTTAAGGAAGTCCTATAGGTTTGAGTCATATGTATCTAAGCTCGCAGGTGACCAGTGATTTTTTTTTTTTAATAACTTACTGCTTTTGAATGTTTCTTCCATTCTATAAAATTTGGCTGAAACTGGCCAATAAATTTGGTGTTGTTAGGGCAGGAGGAAGAAAGAATGAGAGCACCTATGTGCTGTCATAAGTTGTCTCTCCCTTAGGAAATCAGAAAGGTTGCAGACACACTCTTTGCTAGGTTATTTTATGGCATCTTTACAACCTCATTTATGAGCCTCACCTCAAGCCATGGTTCTGAGCTACCTCTGCTGCTGTATGATGGATGTGTTTTCTAGAGCATAGTGGGGAGGAGAAGAGATGGAGGAAAAGGCAGGCTTCTGTTGTGAGCAGAATTAAGAAGCTGCCAGTAAGTTTGTGGAAATTGCAATTTTTTTCTTACAAAAATTCTTCTTTTGTAGAGAGTTAATTACTTATTGATTTTGCTGTTGATGGAGAGAGGGCCTAATGAATGGTCTTTTATCAGCACTTCCTTCTCTCCTAACTGGGATTCTCCACCAGAATCTCAATGAAATGCAGGGGTACCCAGTCACGGTGGTTACCATCGAGCAGCAAGCCCCTGTCGAGTCCATGCTAACAACATCAATGTTGCATCCCTCTAGGACTCATTAGGGGGCAACAGCAGGACAGTGATGATTGCACATATCAGCCCAGCCAGTACCTCCTTTGAAGAATCTCGAATGACCTTGATCTATGCCTGTCGAGCAAAAAACATCAAGACACAGGTAAATAAGGAGACAACTCACAAGGAGGTGGAGGTTAGAGATTAAAAGCTTGTCAAGCAGAAACAGAAGATGTAGTGGATGAAGGGAGAACAAGCTTCAGGAGGGGGCAGTGCAGGATGGTATAGAAGCTCAGTGGGAGTGATAGAAGAAAAGCAGATGAAGGGAACAGTGGAAAGCAAATTGTATGGGTCATGGGTGAGAAGAGGAATATGAAGGTCAAATCAAGGGAGCAGAATAATGGAAAGGCAGAGGATGACATAGCTGGTATAGCCCTGGGTGCAGAACATAAGGAATGATGGTTGAAAGATGGCTATTGGGAGGACAATGTATGGGGAATGTCCCAGTGGGGATGCTGGGCCTGGAAGAGGAACTGAGGGGCTGCAGAAAAGAGGAATATAACGGAGAGGCTCATGGGTTGAAGGAAGATGAACAATGATCTACAACAGGCTTTTCACTCTTTGTGGATCTCGGTGTTTTCCCTGTGGACAAAGGGGCCCTGGCTTCTCTCTGTTACCTTTGGGGAATTTCCCAGAATTAGGGAAAACCATTAATTTACAGTTTCCCCACTCACAAGGGAAAATTCTTCCCCGTCACAGGATTCAGTACCCCTTCAACTGAAAGCATAGCTCTGTTTGCAGCCATTGTACCAATAATGGACCGTGGGACAAATGCTGATATATTCTGGCTCTCCAGGTAAAATGTAACCTGCAGAACGTTTCCTGCCACATTGACCAATACACCAGCATCATCACAGACCTCCGAAGGGAGACTGAGCGCCTGAAGGAGAGAGTAAAGAACCAGGAGAAGGAGAAAAGTGCAGTCAGCACCAACCTCAGGGATCTGCAAGGTAGAGCCAGGAGCAAGAGCTGTTCTGGGGTATCTGGAGGGAAGGGAGCGGGGAGAGGAGCTGTGTGGATGTGTTGTGGTAGCACTTGGTGGGCCTCCATGCAGATGTAGCAGCGGGAAGCCAGATCAACAATGCTTGTAAAGTAGCAGAGCAGAGAACACAGTCTGATGGGCAGAGGAGGAAGGCAGGGGAAATGAAGTTGGTTTTCTGTGTGAGCCTATCTCTGATGTGCTGTGTGATGTTGGACAACACATTCAACCTTCTCAGCATCTTCCCCAGTGTTGAAATGTGTTAAATGTCACAAACATGCCCTTGAAAAGAGCTTTGACATCAAGTGGTGGCATTTGCTGTGGGAAGTCCTGACTCTTACAGAGAGGTGACTGAGTTTGTAGCTTGTGTCATCATGGGCTCTGAGGCTGTGTCAGGACACAGAGCTCTGTTGTATGGTTTGTTGCACTTAATTTAAAAAAAATAAAACAGGGAGGGTGGGTAGGGTGAAGCTTTTAAAACATTGATTGTTCTGCCCTGAGGATTGTTCCTTTTGGAACAGTGGATCTGGCAAAGAATGAAATAAAAATAGCCAAGTTCTCTGACAGATAAGACATGAGGTATAATAGGTCTCTGCTACCAATACCCAAGGTCATTTCTAGGTAAGAAGCACAGAAAACCAATACTTTTTTCTTTTTGGTGGTTGGAAAGGGGGAAGAGATGTCCCTGCAATGCAGTAGCCTCTTACTACTCACAAAAGCAGTAGCAATGAGACCTATGTATTGCTAAAAATACAATCATAAAGATATATCAGGTTTCTTAAGCACATTATTAACTTCAAGAGACTGCAGAATGAGGCAGAGTCCTATAAATGAACACCTTGGAACACATGGACTGAGTGGCCTGGTCCCAGAGTAGTTTTTTGGGGACTTGGCAGAAGTTTACGTGGCCTAACATCAGATCTAAAATGTCTTCTCCTGTAGCAGAGAGGCACCAAGGCTCTGAGGTACACAGTGGCCAAGTAATGAACACCTTGCGGGCACAGCTGATGGAGGCTTTCAGGGAGCAAATGGAGATGCATCGCAGCCTGATGGAGCTGGAAAACACCAACATTGAGCTGCAGGTTGATACCTGCAGGCACCTCCTAACAATCACTGAGTGAGTAGCTCCTTAGCTTTGAGCACAACTTATATGTGGACCTCCAAACTCACCGTGAGAAATGCTAATATCCCATGGTCCCCCCCCAACAAAAAAATTACAAAAGGATGTTGTTAAAGAGAGTATTTAATTATTCATGATCAAGTATAGGTTTGAGATTTACCTATGTGATGACAAAACATGGGAGGGTAGTGGTCTGCAAAAGGTACCCAGGGATTTAAGGTAGATTAAGTCCACACGACTCTGAGCTGTAGATTAAGGTGCTATATTTGCAACAGGTGATTTCTGCTATAGAGGAACACGTCCCTAATCCCTCCTGGTGCTTCTAAGGAGACTGCACATGGTGCTGCACTGCACTGCAGTTGCCTGATGTTGTTCTGTAAGGCAACCAGCTACCTCTGTCATAAAGTTTAAGCTCAAGACTAAAAGTATAAATGGTAGATACCTCAACTCTATTTGGACCTTATTCTAGACTTGTGTTTTAATGGAAAAACTGGACAGACTGGGATTGTTGGTCGTTCCATGTTCCAGTCACCCTGTGTTTGTGAAGTATTTTCCATCCAGGTGCACTGCATCTGGGCATAATTTCATGTTGGAGAAAGCAGCATCATCCCTTTCTTTTGGATAAACTGTCAGCAGGTGTCAGTTCCCTCTCATTATCACTAGTCACCGACTTAATGCCTCTGTAAATTTTATAGTCTCTTAGGATGTGGGATGATTTAGGATTAAAACAGTCTCTAGGACATTAAAGGTCTCCAACAAGTACCTGTGATTTGGCAACAATTTGTGATGAGAATGGCGAAAAGCACTGTTCTGCTGGCTGTGGGAAGATCACATAGGAGGCCTGTCTTATGCATTTCCAAATGGTAGGAAGCTTATTGTGCTCTTCTGCATGGTTTGTCCAGGTACAGAGCAGCCTGGACTAATTAGCTCCAGTGCTGCCATGCAAGAAGTTGGACAGATACAATGAAGGGCTACGTATGCATCGTTAGAGTTATGTCACCATGTCCCAGAAGTTCCTCTTTTATTTTTGCTGGCAGCTGGGAACGAGAGAAGGCTCAGGGTGCATCCAAGCATGGCAAGCCAGCAAAGGAGGAGAACAATGAAAACACAGAGGAGGAAAACAGGGAAGCGGATATCAAAGATTCACCTGAACCTCATGAAGTTACAGTAGCAAGAGAAGAGATCAACCTGCTGCTGGCAGAGCAGCGCAGGACAGCAGCTCTGAAGGTGAGGAGGTGAAGGTGCCCTTATGGTCACAGTTCTGACCTCTGCCCAGCGGGTGCTTGGGGACAGGATGGCAGCAGCGTAACTCAGAGAGGTTCTTCTGGCTTTGGGCTGGCACCACAAAAGCAGTGTGGCACCTGTATCACAGCTGGGCTCCTAAAGACCTTGGGCTGCTGAAGGAAGCAGCATGGGGACAGTGATGTTTGCATCCTGCCTCTGTCCCTTTGTTTTTTAGGATGAGGGAAAATCACAAACCCGCTGTCTGGGCTTACCCATTTCACCTTTCAGGGACATTCTGGGGACTGGTCACTAGTGGTTTGTCACTGGTGGTTTCTCTCATAACAAATCCCTTGCTGAACCCAAAACGCAGCACTATTCTAGCTACTAAAAACAAACCTAGCTCCGTCTCAGCTAAAAACCAGGACAGTCACTCACTGGTTGTTCAGTATTTTGGTAAAAACTTTTGGTGATTATTTTTTTTGGTAGCTAATGTGAACATTTGTGAGTTCATCTAGGCAAGGACTATGCAGCTGGATATATCTGCCATGACCAAAACATGGTGGCTCCTAGTAGAGTAAGCAAATTAATTATTGTAGATATTACTTTAATCTCAGCATGAAGGACACAGAACATATTTGCTCAGATGCCTTTGTTATCCCAAAAAGCTGAATTGCCTTGACAGCCCTCTGTGTACCTTTTTCAGACAGAGCTGGAGCAGCATTTAGCAAATGCCAAGGAAAAAGCTTCCCAGATGGAGGAGTTTTTCCCCAGACAAATCACCAGTGAGGATCAGCAGGAGGTGCTCAGGCTCCTCTGCAGAGCCCATGAGCTTGAGCTTGGCAACACTGAGCTGCAGGCAAATACACTGTACAAGGAGAATCTATTGTGCCAGAATGATTTTGTGATCCAGCAACTGCAGCAGCATATGCTACTCTGTGAAGAAATTATTCAGCAGCAGCAGACGCTGATAAAAGGTAAAGCAGCACCTTTGCTCCTACTCCATTGTTACCTCTGAGCTTTGTTTTCTGATGCCAAAGTGGAGAACGATCCACCCAGAAAACCTTGTCTTGGATGTCATGATTCCCCAGTTCTCAGCTATTTCTCAAGGAGTGATTCTTAACTCTTCCTCCCCATCTCTGCCCCAGCCCAGAATATTCCTGTCCCAGAGACACTGGCGAGGTTACACCACCTGT